AAGAACCGACACGAGACAAGTCACTGGAGGAGTTCCACTTTATTACAAAAGGCTATGGGCTTATAAAGATCTAAGGAGAGGTGGCAGGGCTTAGGAGAATGACGGGTCACTCATTTATTGGTAAGTTCTTCCAGATGTCAGTTCCGGGGTCCACAAAATTAGTTCCTATTGGGGCTAAGGTTTCCCGCTAGTGGGGTTTGAATATTGGCGCCGGTGGGAAAGAGAAAGGCAGGAAGAGAAGCTCCTCAGGCACCATGTTGGGGTTTTTGGGGTGTGGCTGCCGTTATACCTTTTCCCAACACTGAGAACAATACCAAGTTCTAAAAATACTCTGAGCCAAAGTAACATTAATAGGATAAATATATAGACACACAGGAGGGAACTTTCTTTTTCTTTCTTTCTTTTTTTTTTTAACTACTGAGCCCTTTTTATTTTTTCATTTTGGGCAACTTAGTGAGACATTGTCTCTGAATAAAAAAATTAAAAAGGCTGGGGATGCAGCTCAGTGGTAGAGCATTTTCCTAGCACATGCGAGGACATATTCTCAATATTACACATACCACTCCTGATTTTTCTATGTTGACTTTGTATCTTGCAACTTTACTAAATTTGTTTAACAGTTGGAGTGTTTTAAATTATTTTAACCTTTTTTTTTTTTTTTTTTTTTTTTTAGTGGAGTCTTAGGATTTTCTCTTGTCATCTGCAAACAGTGATAGTTTAATTTCTTCCTTTCTAAGTTGGATGCCGTCTCTTTCGTTCCCGTGCCTGATTGCTCTGGCTAGAAGTTGCAGTACTACGCTAATAGACATGAAAGGACGTACCCTTGTCTTGTCATGGGCCATACAGGAAACACTTTCAACGTATGAGCTGTGGACCTATGATATATGGGCTTCTGTACCTAATTTGTTGGGAGTTTTTATCATGAAGGGATGTTGAATTTGTCAAATGATTTTTTTTTCTACATCTCTTGAAGTGATCATATGGTTTTTTCCTTCATTCTGTTGCTGTGATGAGTCACATTTATTGCTTTGCATATTTTGAACCACCTTGCATACCCGGGCTGAATCTTACCTGGTCATGGCAGGTGATCTCTTTAATGTGCTATTGAATTTGGTTTTGTAGTATTTTTTTTTTTTTTTTAGGGTTTTTATATCTATGTTCATCAGGGTTATTGGCTTTTACTTTTCTTTTATTGTTATGTCCTTGTCTGTTTTCTTTTCCAAGTCTGGAAGTACACCCTCCTCTTCAGTTTTTTTGGAGTAGTTTGATTAAAACTGATGTTCTTTAAAGGGAAGAATTCAGCATGAAGAGCTCGGTTTCTGGGCTTTTCTTTGATGGGCGACTTTTTATTGTTGATCCAATCTCATTAATCCTTCTAGGCATACAGATTCTCTGCTTTTTCATGATTCAATTCCTGGTAGGTTGTGTATGTCCAGGAGTGATTTGTCGGTGTTTGTTTATAATGGTTTCTTATGATCTTCTGTGTTTCTGTAGCATCTCTAGTAACATTTCCTTTTTCATTTCTGTTTTTATTTGGTTCTTTTTTTCTTTTTTCTTAATCTGGCTAAGGTTTTTATTATGTTTATCTTTTGTGGTTGGGTGGGGACCAGGGATTGAACTCAGGGGCACTCCACCACTGAGCCACATCCCCAGCCATATTTTGTACTTTATTTAAAGACGGGGCCTCACTGAGCTGCTTAGCGCCTCACTTTTTTGGCTGAGCCTCTGGGATTACCGGGTTGTGCCACCGCTCCGGCTGAGACTTGTTTTGTGGTCTAACTTGTGATCTGTCCTGGAAGCCGCTCCAGGTGCAGTTGAGAAGAATGTGTGTTCTACAGCAGGCGAGTGGAGAGTCGCATACATGTTGTTAGGTCGTTTGGGCTGGAGTGCAGTTTAAGTCTGGCCTTTCCTTGTCTATTGCCGTCTGGATGATCTGTCCATTGCTGAACTTGGGGTGTTGAGGTCCCCCACCTATTATTTTCTTGCAGCCGCTCTCTCCGTTAGCTCTGTTGGTGTTTGCTTTGTGTACTCAGGTGCTCTGATGCTGGTTACCTATGCACTCACAGTTGTACCTCTAGCAGGACTGTCCCCTTGATGACAGTGTGATGCCCATTTGTCTTTTTTATGGTTTTTATTTAAAGTCTGTTTTGTCTGATATACTCCTGCTCTTTGGTTTCCGATTGCATGGAATCTTTTTTTTTTTTTTCCGTCACTCCCTTTCAGTCCACATGTGTCCTTACCAGTGAAGTGACGCTCTTGAGGACACATGGAATCTTTAGCTTTTAATCCATTGTGTCTTTTAATTGGAGAACTTAATCCATTTACATTCAAGGTGATTATTGAGAGGTGAGGACTATTACTGCCATTTTGTTGTCTTCTAGTTGTATTCTATTTGAAGCACCTTGCGTATCCTGTCTTCATCTCTGGAAGTGGACAGAAGGCATTCTCTGGAGCCCAGGCGAATTTTTTTTGTGTGTATGTGTTTGTGTGTCTCCAACATGAGTTGACTACAAAGAGACGTTTAATTATTTAAAAATCCATTATGAGGACAACTTCAATTAAGTTCTAAAAATGTTTTGAGGCAAAGCAGTATTAATAGATTAAGTGTAGATCCTTCTATAGGAACGTTCTATTCTTGTTTGACTTGGTCTTAAATTTTAACAAGTGTCATTGCTTGCAGGCATTGCCTGCATTAGGTACTTGTGAAATGTGTATAAGTGGCAGGCAGGAGCCTGTTGGGATGTTTGCTATTTTTTTTTTAATATTTATTTTTTGGTTGTAGTTGCATACAATATCTTTATTTTATTTTTGTTATTCCCAAACCTTTCCCAGGCCCTCCAGAGTTTGTGCTAACATATTGACTCTTGAAGAATGGGGACTGGCACCATGTGCTCAGAGGTCTAGAAGCTTCAGCCCCGCTCCCTGACCTGTGGTGGGAGGAGAAGGCTGGACTTGGACTTCATCACCAGTGGCCAATGATCTCATCCGTTGTGAATGCACAATAAAGCCTCCATAAAAACCTCCAGTGCCGGGCTCAGAGAGCTCCGGGCTGGCAAACGCAGGAGCACAGGGAGGGTGGCGCCTGGAGCAGGCTGGAAGAGCCGCACTGCAGCTGGCTGGTGCCCAGGCTCGGCTCAGAGCCTCTCCTCCTCTGGCTGCTCCTGAGGGGTATCCTTTGTAACAGGCCAGCAACAGTGAAGGGTTTCCCTGTATCTCCAGGGCTGTGGGCACCTTGACTTGTAACCAAGTTGGACAGAAGTGTGGGTAACCACTACTTGCAATTGCATCTTTTTTTTTTTTTAATATTTATTTTCTAGTTGCAGTTGGACACAATATCTTTGTTTTATTTATTTTTATGTGGTGCTGAGGATCGAACCCAGGGCCTAGAACGTGCTAGGCGAGTGCTCTACTGCTGAGCACAACCCCAGCCCCCAATTGCATCTTTTTTTTTTCTTTTAGTTGTTGATAGACCTTATTTATGTGCGGTGCTGAAAAATCAAACTCGGTGCCTCCCACATGCTAGGCAAGGGCTCCACCACTGAGCCCCAGCCCCAGCCCTACAATTGCTTCGTGACGGGAAGCAGTCTTGCAGGACAGAGCCCTTAACCTACTCTCACTCCAGGTAGTTGATGTCAGAACTCGGCTGCAGGATGCCCAGTTGGTATCCACAGGAAACTGGAGACTTGCATGGAGTCTGTAGAGGAAGTTTTTCTGTCTACACCTCAAGCTGTGTCCTGAGCACTTCGTGAAGATGAACTCATCAAATCTTTCCAGCAAGGTAGGTGGTTAAGCCCAAATGGAAGTTAAAGTTAAAATGAGGTTAAATAGTTCCTTGGTGTCTCACAGAGGTGACTGGTGGAGCCACAACCCCAGCCCAGGGAGGCTGGCGGGGAATGTGTCCAGAACACTGTGTGCTACTGCTTGTCTCTGTTCCCATGTGGGCAGTTCAGAGCCTGTAGTTGTGACACCAAAAGAATGGCCAGTGCTAAAAGAATGTGGGTTGTTTTGTTTTGTGTCTCGAGACTTAAAAACAAACACAGAACATTCTTTCTGAAGTGTGTATTTAGCATTTAGTGCTGGGTGCACATTCTTCCAGAGGTGCTCCAGACCAGAGGACAGCTAACCTGCAGCTAAGACTGGCCTCATCTGGCGGGCACCATGGCGTATGCCTGTAATCCCAGCTGCTTGGAAGGCCGAGGCAGGAGGATGGCAAGTTCAAAGCCAGCCTCAGCAAAAGCAAGGTGCTAATAAGCAACTCAGTGAGACCCTCTCTCTAAATAAAATACAAAATAGGGCTGGGGATGTGGCTCAGTGCTTGAGTGCCTGAGTTCAATCCCTGGTATCAAAAAGGGGGAAAAACTCACTGGCCTCATCTGACTGTACAGTCAGGCCAAGTTTACTTTTGTCCCATGAGTGGTATGAAACTAAGTTCCTTTGATTCATTTATTGGGCAGCTTCTTGAGTGCCTAACGTAGCCAGGGCTAGTACTCCCTAACCTTGGGCAGTTGTTTGAGTTCTTGAGCCTGATAAAGTGTTAAGCGAGGGAGAGAGACGTGTTCCATTTCACAGGGCTGAAGATGAGAGGGTCAAGGAGGACTTCAAATGAAAAGATGACGACAAAAAAAGCACAGGCCTGCGGGTATTCCAGGACTGCAGAAGGGAAGGACCACGGAGGGGGACACAGAGGGGACCACGGAGGTGGAGAGGCATGGGGCCGCGAGTTCAGACCTGAGGGACTCGTTCCTGTTCCAGGCTATGGCAGGGACTGTTCTCACGTGCAAGAGCGCTGTGCCTTGGGAGCCTCTTCAGTAAGAGGCTGGTGTAACCCAGCTCAGCTGACATGGTCCCAAAGCAAGCAGAAGCTGGCAGACCCACCACACACGCTGCCAGCTCCGAGTGCCAGCATCCACCGTCTCTGCCAGTCCCCATCAGGATGACCTGGATTTGAAATTTTGCTAAGTGAGCACAACTACTAGGTTTCAGTGAGCAAGCAGGCCAAGGAGGTTAGAAAAATACAAAATTTTAATCTCTACTTATGACAGTCATGTCAAAGCCCCTAATTAAAAACTTTTTTTTCCAACCTGCAGAGCAGAACAGGGCTTAGCCTACACTCTCAGAACTTTGCAGGTACTCTCTGCCCTTTTCCTCTTAGCCCAAGGCTCTGTGCTGACCCACCCACTCGCTGCTCATCATTGCTCTGGGGGTAGTGGCTTGAAAGCCAGCCTGCCCATCCTGCCAACCCAGGTGAGTCCCATGCTGGGCCACCACAGCCCTGTTCTGTAACCCAAGAACCCTTCAGCCTCGGGCCCAACCCCCAAGTCCAGCCATCTGCCAGGAGAGCTGCGAGGCCAGGGGGAGCACCCGCAGGGCTGCGAGCCTGGGATCTGTGGCCTCCTGCTGACTGTCTCCGGCCTCCTGGCCCACGTTGTGGAACGTGGGTCTTTAAGGCACCAAGTGATTGAAGAACTGGCTCTGCTTCTGATCAAGGCCTTCCTGTTACTCACTAGTTAGTTAGTGACTGCTGGATGCGCTGGCACCCCAGCAGCTCCGGGAAGTCCTCATTCAGTCTTCAGGGCAGGATGTAGGTAATTCTCTGAGCAACAGACTTGCAGCCTTGGGAAGAAAAGAGTTGTTCCTCCTTGGGGACATATGTCATCATCTTGGCGATCTCGTCCAGGGACTCTTCTGTGTGCGGGAGCTCCTGGCTCAGGAAGGCGTCGCGAGCACACAGCCTCACGTGACGGTATTCCAGTGGCAGGAAGGGGACAAAGACGTCAATCAGGTCTTCTTTCACCAGACGGCTGTGGCCAAAGCCACTGTCTGAAATCAAGACACAAAGTCACATGGAAGCTGACCCGAGGCTGAACCCAGTGGGGCTCTACTGTGTCCCAGGACCCGCAGCATGGGCAGGATTTGGTCTCGTGTGCAGTGCCGGGGGGGCTGTCTGCAGCACATGCCAAGAGCCACACCACTGGGTCTCCTGGAGCAGGTGAGCAGGGTGCGGTGGCTGGTGCCTGGCCTTGTCCAGTGGCAGGAGCAATCCTCCATTGGACAAGGCCGTGGAGGCTGACCGCTGAGGGTCTCACAGTGACACTTTGCTCAGAGCCTCTGTGTCTCCTGGGCCAGTGCCAATGCCTCTTTCAAAGCATTTTCAGAAAGGCACTCTTCCTGTGCCACCCACGGTTGACAACACGGGATGACTGGAGCGTGTCTTCTGGATGGTCAGGGCCCCTGTGCACCTCACAATCACACCACCAGCGTTCACGCTAATCACCTCCAACTGTGGCTTGTCTTGTGCGTGGGTCACTCACCTGTGGACCCCATGATCTCGGCTCGGAGGCGGGGCTCTAAGTCTTCCATCGTAATTTCTTCCCGGGGCCGTCCAGCCTTAAGCCAAGTCAGGACCACCTCGTTGACGACGTTGCCCCCGAGGTTACTGAAAGAGACACGAAGGGCCTGTTGACAGAGCTGTATTTTTAAGCCTAGATTCCCAATGGGTTCCCTGACCACGAGGCCAAAACCCCGGTGCGGGAAGAGTGGAGGCTGCGGGCCCGGCCTCGGCCCTCCCGGGGGGACCTTGGCACAACTAGCATCTGCATAGAAAAGACGACGTCCTGCCTTGCCACCCCCTCTCCCGCTCCCTTTGACAAACGCTTAGGAAACTGCCAGGCGCAGAGGGCACAGCAATGGTTAGATGCGGTTCCTCCTCTGAGTTCTGTGGGACAAGGGCCTGAGGCTCCAGGACAGCGTGGCAAGTGCTGACCAAGGAGAGCCTCACATCGAGGCAGAGGGCGAGTAACGGTCCTCAGAGCCGAGGAGGAGGGGTGTGGCCTGACGCAGAGGCCCAGGAGGCTGTGCAGCAAAGCATCAAAGGCAGGCTGAGACTCTGGGGGCGCCCTCGCCATGTTTGCAGATACGGGCCACGGAACCACGGAAGGGCTTGGAGCTGGGGAGCGTCGGGTGGCGACCTGGTCAGTTTTACGTTCTAAAAAGACCATTTCAGGGCTACAGAGACTGGATTGAAGGGCCATGGATGGTTGCAGAAAGCTAGTCCCCAAGCCTTCTGCCAGCAGTCCATGCTCAGAGGTGACAGATGATGGAGAGAAGGACAGAAGAATTAAGAAATACCACTGAGCCAGGTGTGGTGGTGCCTGTCTGTGATCCCAGCCACCGGGAAGGCTGAGGCAGGAGGACCACAAGATCAAGGCCAGCCTCAGCAACTTCGCAAGGCCCTAAGCAACTTAGTGAGACCTTACCTCAAAATAAAAAATAAATACGGCTGAGGGATGTGGCTCAGTGGTAAAGTGTCCCTGGGCTCATTCCTGGTACCAAAAAAAAAAAAGAGGGGCTGGGGTGTGGCTCAGCGGTAGAGTGCTTGCCTAGCACATGCGAGGCCCTGGGTTCGATCCTCAGCACCCCATAAAAATAAACAAATAAAGGTATTGTGTCTCACTACCAAAAAAAAAAAGAAAGAAAAGAAAACACCACTGGCAAGACCCTGTCACTGATGGACATGAGAAGTGAGAGAGGACATGTGTCTGCCCTGGGCTTCCGACTGCTCCCGTCACAGGCGCCAATGTGCTCCCCACGCTCCAGTGTTCTTCCATGGCTCTGGGGGACTGGGGTGTCACTGGGCAATGGGAATTAGGGGTCTGGAGCACAGAACAGGACGGGATTAGTCAGGGGATAAGGCGAGGAACCCAGAGAGCCACCAACAGGAGCTAGCACAGAGGTGCACAGACCTGGGGCAGGAGCGCGGCCCCCTCCCAGCGCAGGCACCCACCTCCCTCCCACCCTCACCCCCACCCCAAGGCTGCAGCCCCAGGCAGCTCCTTGGCCAGCTCCGCCGGGGCCTCTCTGGCTCTGCCACCTGCCTCTCCACAGCAGGACGGGAAGGTGGCAACGAAGGACTGTGGCAGGCGGGCAGCAAGGAGCAGGGTCCAGCACCTCCATTCCTCCCCTCCAGTGGACCTTGAGTCCCCCGGGGCACCCTCCTGTGTGTCAACTCACTTCCGGGCTCATTTAGCATTTGAGCACACCGTGAGCAAGGCGCCCAGGCAGGGAGAGGGGCTGGGTGCTCCCCGCTCACATCTCCCCCGCCGGGGGCACCCTGCCTGCCCAGCAGCTAAGCCAGGACGGACGGGCTGTCTGGCTGCGTGGTCCTTCCTGAGGGGACCAATGTACTCCTGATGACAGACTTTACCAGGGGCTGTGGGCACTGCGGGGACAAGGGCATCCCCTCCCCTTCCTCCAGGTCAGCTGCTCAGCCAGACTTGTCCAGACACCTGCCTGTGGAGAAGCTGCTGACAGCACTGCTCCCTGCTCCCCAGCCCCCTAGGAAGAGCCACAGGTCATCTGGACGCCTGAGGGCCTTCAGCAGAGGCAAGGTCACCCTGCTGCCAAGGGACTGCCCTCTCCCACGTTCCCCACAGGAGGCAGAGGCAGGTACTTGTGTCTCCACTGGCATGAAAGGCAGCTCCTGGGGTAAGGGCCAGACCAGCGGGGCTGACTCACCAGCTCCTGGGCAGACCCCAGGGCCTCCCCGCTTCCACCCAGGAGGCCACCAGACTCCAAGTGGGTGGGGAACAGGAAGCGTGGCCTATTTCTCTAAGGAGCCCCAGCACCTAGACCAGTGCTCGGCACACAGCAGGGGCTCCACAGTGCGCATTAGATAAATGGACATGGCTGTGCATTGGTCCACGCCACCTCCAACTCCCTTCTGAATGTCCCCTCTGGTCTGCCTCCCCCTCCCCAGGCCACATCTTTACCTCACCACGAGGCATGACCAGGAGGCCCCTCTCTCCGCCCCCTCCCCTTGTCTTCAGCTCCTCAGGGCTGCCACCACCAGGCCACCTGTAGACAGACACTTCCCCCAGGAAGGACCTCACCCCCAGGCCCCCTGCCAACCAGGCCCAGCAGGCACCTCTATTCACCAGCCCTCTGTGGGCCTGGGACAGGACCACATCCAAGCTCACCAGCCCTCGGCCCGAGACCCCGAGGAAGGGACTCAGGTTCTCTCCAGGACCAGCCATCCCCGACAATGACCCGGAACAGAGCAGCACCGACTGCTCCTCCCTGAAGAACAGAGGCAGGTCAACCCTGATCTCTTTGAGAGAAGGAAACCTGACCAAAGGTGCCCGAGTCAGAAAACGGGCAGCCACCACACACAGGTCACTGGGGGAGGTCCGAGCTCTCAGAGTCGCAGGGCTCCCCGCCTGTGCTGGCACTGTCCCTGCCTCGCCTGGCAGCGGCCCCAGGTAAATGGGCCTCATTCCCTCTTTCTTTACAGCTCCCCACCCCACTGGGGTCCTGCCCGTGACCCTTCCCGAGCCTTCTACCGGGTAGAAATGAGCAGGAGTAGTCAAGGTTGGTTTCTGGCCACCAGACAGGAGGCGCCCGGGTTCTGGCCGACCTAGGGCCAGGCTCCGACACCCCAAGCCCCACAGGCTCACTCCCTGCTTCACTGCCACCTCAGGAACCGCGCCCTGGAACAGCACCTCCAGGCTCTGACCACCAGTGAGCCGTGCTTCAGGACAGGCCCCGGGACCCTCCCTAAAACGACCTCCCGAGCCTGGGGGAGCGGGAAGTGTCCCCAAACAGAACCTGAAGGACAGAACCTAAATTAGAAGGGGCGACCTCGGCGGTCGCCGGATGGACCAGGGCGCCCACCAGTCCCTGGCCTGGTGTACAGGTGCAGGCCAGTGCGCCCGGCCTCCGGAGCCACACCCTCCGAGGGCGGGAGGTGTGAGCGGCCTCCCGTCTCCCTGTCTCCCTGTTGGGGGAGCCGACCCAGCTCCTGCTCACAGCTGGGGCCGCCCGTGTTGGCTTCTACACACGCTGGGCATGGGCCCTGCCAGGTGTCACCCCCTCCCACCTGCCATCAGGCGCCACAGAGGGCAGGCCACCAAAGCCACTCAGGCCTCAGTGCAAACAGCAGGTTGGGCTATTTCCCAGGGTTAAATGGCAGGTGTTCCCCGGGTGTGACTTAGTCACGTTGGCAGCTCAAATTGCTTGTCGTCCAGTACAGTACTCCTCACCACGAAGGGGAGGTGCTTCCCACGATGGACCTCAGCGGAAGTCCAGAGACGCAGCGCCCCCATACACGTCTTCCCCACCCACCGTCGCTGGACGCCTGGCCTCAGGAGTTCAGGGCAGCCGGGTGTGGGGGGCGCTGCTGGATGTGGCCCTGCATGACCGGGGGTGGACAATGGCAGCCTGCCCACAGCTTCTCCTTGGTGGGAGGCCTTGGTACAAGCCAGTGCCCGAGCCACTGCAACCAAAGGCCACATTTAAGTGACCCTTCGAGTCCTTGTCACAGCTGTGTCCTCCTCCCGGGAGGGCAGGCTTAGCTGCTTCCTCCTGTGGGGGACTGGTCTAGCAGGACGACTCCCCGGGCACTGCCTCCACCCCAGGTGGCTAGCGGTGGGTGTGCAGCCACGCGGCCTGCTTCAGTCCACCAGTCAGGTCACTGGGGGAGTGGGACTGCCCAGGAGACAGACAGCAGTACCGGCTGGCCGACAATCAGAATGCCGCAAAGGCAGACGTCTGCCTGGAGTCCAGGGCACTGGGTCAGGTTCAGCGACCACGGCCAGCAGGGGCGAGGCCTTTCCAAGTGGAGAGGTGGTGGAGGAGGGGGCCAGGAGGCAGCGGCCCACTGCCCCGTCCAGGAGCGGGAGGAGATACTTCTAACAAAAGTGCAAGGGGGGCTGGGCTGCGGCTCAGTGGCAGGGCGCTCGCAGGCCATGTGTGAGGCTGTGGGTTCCATCCTCAGCACCACATAAAAATACATAAAATAAAGGTGTGTGTCCATCTACATCTAAAAAAATATTTTAACAAATCATTTAAAAAAGTGAAAGGTGGTCCCCGTGGTGGTCCCCAAGCTTCATCCCGCAGGAGGGGACTGGCTTCTGCTGCAGCAGTTCAGAGAGTCCCCAGCACCCGCACCCCACGACCTGAGGGCTTCTGTGGAGAAGCCTTAGGGCCAAGGCCACTCCTCTATCTGGCCTCCTCTGACTCACTGCCCCAGGAGGAGTCCTGAGCCTGCTGCTTAGAACCTGGGGAGAAGGTTGAGAACCCAAGAAGCGACCTGTCCTCAACTCCTGACTCTGGGCACGCAGACTGTATCAGACGTCTCTCTTCAACTCACCCGGGGACGCTCGTCCTCCTCACAGCTCACGTCCCACAAGCCTGCACAGCAGGGTGGACTCGCCATCACACCAGAATCCTGACCTGGCACTAGTTTAAACCCGTCCCAAGGGTCCGCAGGAAGCCAGGCCTGCTGTCCACAGCTCACCCCTCCATGCTCCCAGCCTGGGCGAAATCGTCCCCACTCCCCATCCTCACCAGGTGTGCCCTGAAAACCCCCGGCAACAGGGGCGGCCAGGGGTGGGGAGGAGGAGCCAGCAGCCTGTGGGGAAGCAACTGCTTTGACTTCTAGGGAGTCTGCAAGAAGCTGGTGCAAAGCTTCAAGCCAAAGCCTCCATAAAGAGACAGAGTTGAACAAGTTATTTCTGTTTGCTTCCTGCAGGGCCACTTCAAGAGCCTGGGACACTCAGCAAAACAGAAGCAGGGAAATGTAGCCCTGTGGCAAGTCCTGCAGGCATCACAGATCTAACCACACTCACCGCAGGGTTTGGCCAGCGCTGCCTCTTGGCAGAAAGAGACCTTCAGGCCTCTGGGGCTGGGGAGGAACTACTCGGCCCTCTGAGCAGCTGCCTTGGGAGCTCTCAGGGTCATTGGTACTTGATTTTGAGCTAATGAGCTGTTTGGAATGGCAAAGAAGCCCTCCACCGCCTGCCACACCTCCCCTCACTCAGACCTCACCTGAGAAAAAGAAAGATGTTCCTCGGAGACTCAGTGCTGTGGCCCTCAGTGGCATGGCGTTCCAAGTGGGGCCCTAGGAGCTCCAGCAGCCCCGGGTGCAGCTTCTCAGCCTCGTCAAAGATGAACAGGCTCTGCGGGCAGCGCTGCTGCGTCCCCTGGATCTGGCTGGTCAGCTGCTCCTGCACAGGACACAGGGAGCTGTGGAGACCTGAGGACACATCCCACCCTCCAGCCACAGTCCGGGTCAGGGCACCAGTTTCCCCAGCATTTCTGCAGTGGGTTGCCTGGGACTGGGATCCAAGCCCTGGGGGCGAAGCTCGCACCTGTTCGCCAACAGGTTTCCAGATGATTTTCCTGAACCTGAAGGTTGGCAGCCCTAGTCTGGGGAGAGGAAGGGGCCTGGGGGCAGTGGAAAGAACCCCTTGTGTCCCTGGGCACAAGCCCCCACTCCAGCCTTCTCCCTCCTCTCCAGGCCTAGGTCCCATCCTGGAAGTACCTGTCAAGTCAACTCCCCAAGGGCAGGGGTCAGGTTCTGCTGTGGGGGTGACAGGCAGGAGGGGCTCAAGGGCCAGAGGCAGCCACTCCCCTGCCTGCGCTCCCAGGAGCAGCGTGCCCACTGCTCCCAGGCTGGGCCAAGATCTCAGGGAGGTGACACTCCTGAGCGCCTTCTGGGGCCCAGACAACCTGTAATGCAGGGGCTCCCAGAGATGGTGGGCTCTCGTTATAGCCAAGAGAATAAACCCTCAATGGAACAGAAGCTTCTTTGGTGTTCCCAGAGCTGTTGTTCCCAACTTCTTACCCCAGCCTACACTCCCTGTCCCTCTCTAACCTCCTCAGAGTCTGACTTCAGCCCCCCGTCACCCGAGTGCACGGGTGTGTGTGGACATGCCGATTTTTACAGTGGGGAAGTTGGGATCCACAGAATCAGGTAATTTCTCCTGAGAAGGCCCAGCTGTTGGCCGCCTGCCCTGAGGCCATCTGGAGTTCAGGACAGTTCACCCTGCCCTTGCCCTCTAGGTCATACTGAAAGGGCAACTCCATTCTCAGAGATGTCTGTGATGACTAAAAGCTAAAGCCAGGAGCACCATCCCCTTAGTCTTGCAGCTGAAGAGTTGGCACATTTTCCTGACCAATTTTAAGTGCTACAGGTCTGACGGGGAAGAAACCGGACCCGCAGAGCAGCAAGGGAACTTTCTGTCCTCCCACTTGCTGGCTATGATGACCGGTTATGGGAAGACATGGAGAACCACCTGATATGGCTGCCTCCTTTTAAAACACTACACCGCGGGGGATGGAGCTGGCCTAGCATACTGGAGGCCCTGGGTTCCCTCCCCAGCACCACATTTTTTTTTTTAAAAAGGCAGGATATGCTTCTTTTTTTTTTTAATATTTATTTTTTAGTTGTAGTTGGACACATACCTTTATTTCACTTATTTATTTTTATGTGGTGCTGAGGATCAAACCCAGGGTCTCGTGCATGCGAGGCGAGCGCTCTACCGCTGAGCCACAACCCCAGCCCAGGATGTGCAACTTTCCGTCCAATAAAATTGCAATAGTGTGGAACAGCACGGGGCAAGAGCTGACACACGGACACTGCTGCGAGCCAGCCAGGTTGGGTCCGTGCCCGGAGATCATGGCAACGGTTTTGCTTTCCTCTCATTTCCCCACTTCCCTAACACAAAAGTCAATACACGACTGATTCTGTTAAGCTGCGTCTGGCTTCTCGTGCATGACTGTGGAGTCTAAAACAGCAGTTGTTCCTCTGAAGGATGGGGGCCACTGTCACATTCTGTCACACACCGCCACCTGGGTCCTGCCCTTCCCCCGAGGCTTCCCAGAGCCCACCTCCTTTCAGGCTTGGGTCTCCCTCAGCAGAGGCCTCGCTCCAGCCCCAGCCCTGGGTGCATTCCCAGCGCTGCCCGCCTCACCTGGTACAGGTCCACATACGTGGGGTGTGGGAAATGGAACGTGGCAATGAACATCTTGACACAGTCGCTCCTCAGCCCGTCCCGATAGAGGTTCTCTGCCAGCATGCGCGCCACAAAGTTCTTGCCTGTGCCAGACCAGCCATGGAACGACAGAGCCAGGGCCTTCTCTGGCCAGGGCATCTCTAAGTAGCCCCTCACTGTTCTCAGGACCAGCTCGCGGGCCAGATGCTGGCCATGCAGGCGCACACTCAGGTTCGATTCCAAGCCTGGGGGCAGGAAAGAGGAGGCCACAGTGAGTGGCACACACGGGCATGACTCCCGCAGGTGGGGGCGTGGCCAGCCAAGCATCTCTGGTCACTCCTAGGGTGGATCACTGATTCATGCCATTTGGACTTAGAGGGCAGACCTTGCAGCAGAATGGATTCAAAGGCCATTTTCTGAAGTTTGAGAAATCGAGATTGAACTCGAGGAGAGAACAGAATCACCCTTTCTGAAGACATCCCAGGATGTGGGCACAGACCAGTTTGGAGGAAGGACCCTGCCCACATCCTAGGCTGCCCCCATTCTTTATCTTCAGGCCTCCTGGAAAGCTTTATGGAGAAACCTGTTTATTCCTTCTATTTCAATTCAGCAAACTCTTGTCCACAGTGCCCGCGGGGAACACAGCCCTGCGCTGGGCATCCTGGTGGAGGTGAGGTGTGCTGCCAGCTGGCCTGAGGCACTGCCATTCTGAGTTCTGGATCAACTGGTTTGGCACCTTGAGCCAACCAGGTCAAGGTCTACTGGAGTATCACATCACTTCAAAACTAGTAGCGTCACAGGAGGGAAAATTAACTTCTACTGCTATTTTTCCTGTACTCAAAACTGTGCTGTTTTATATTTAACTTTCACAGTAATTCTGTAAGGCACGTACTATTATTCCCCCTTTAAAGTTGAGGAAAGGGGCTGGGGATGTGGCTCAAGTGGTAGCGCGCTCGCCTAGCATGCGTGCGGTCCGGGTTCGATCCCCAGCACCACATACAAACAAAGATGTTGTGTCTGCCAAAAACTAAAAAATAAATTAAAAATAAATAAATAAAGTTGAGGAAACAGATTTGGGAAGGACTGTCCAAAATTTGTGTTTCCGATTCCCCCGCCAGAACAATCTGGATTCCCAGACCTTTCAGAGAGGTGACCTGCCGACTCACATCTAAAGTCTTATTCTGAATCAGCAGAAATCCAAATTCACACTCTGTGTAGTCTGGTATTCTGTCTTGTGCCAGGCCCTGTCCCTAGACATACTGTGTCACTGGCACTTCTTCCAATTAAGTGGCCTACTATCTAGGGTGGGTCTCATTTCTGGAGATGGAAGTGCTGGGATCAGGGAAACTCTAGGCAGGAAACCACTTCTGGGGAAAATAGGGAACTTCTGCAAACCACCGATGCAGTGGTCCTTTAACAGGCTAGGCTAAGAATTGCCCTCTGAGAGTTAAATGCAAATCCCTTTAGTATGCAAATAAAGTCTCCTGAACTGAATAAAACATCAAGAGAGGAAGATTACTTAGCAGAACTTCACATGCAGTTGAACTTGAAGGAGAACATTTGCAGGCACACAGGTAGGACAGTTTTCAATCCATGTGATCGCTAATATGGATTTGTTTATAATCAGAAACCATCTCCTATTTCTGTCAGCTGCTGACGCATCGTCACTGATCCAAAATAAACTGGAAACCCAAGTTGTGTCCCCAGACATTTGTTGGCTAAAGGTTAGAAAGGGACACTTGGAATCACAACACAATTTCTGATTGGTTCTCTTGCTTGAACTTGGTTACTATTATTGTTTAGAGAAGCAAGGTGCTCTGGGCCTGACTCTCCCAAGGGTCACAGATATGTTGTATTAAGGGTTAATCCCAGCAAAACTCCTAGCACCATGCTTAGTACATAGTAGGAGCTCCATAGACATTAGTTGCTCTTTTTCCTTGGACCAATTCCCATGGTAGAACATGGTGAGAGATGGCAAATAGGCAGAGGAAAATCTTCAGTCTCAACAAGGGACAGCCAGTGGCAATCAGCAGCCTGTCCTACCCTGGTAGTGTCCCTTCCTCCCAGTTGTCTTAAGTCTGATATGACATGTTCATGGTATTCCCATGGATTCCAACAAGCTGAGCAGCCATGAAACAAAAGGTAAAAAAGGGACTTCTCCTTGATTCAAGTAACAGTGTCACTCACTGTTAGAGCACTTGCCTAGAATGTGTGAGGCCCTGGGTTCCATCTTCAGTACAACACAAACAAACAAAAAACCCACATAGAATGGAAGTGCTCTGGCCTCTGTGTTTAAATGAGTGAATGCAAAATCCATTAAGGACACCACTAATATTGGTCTCACATTATTCCCATTTTGGTGGGTGTTATTTCTGGAAAGCCTAGTAGTTTCATGTCTTATCCAAAGAAGATTCTCAAATAATTGCAGACCTGAGTGCAATTTCAGTGTGACAATTCCTGCACTAGGGGAGTTGGGCAGCATGGCAAAAGTTCACCTGCACCCCAGTAGTGACCTCGCCTCCCCGTACATCCCTGCCTCCCCGTACATCCCTGCCTTTGGAAACCAAGCCTGGGTCTAACCTGGAAAGTTGTTGGAGATCCTGCAGTCCCCGCCAGTGCAGCAGTCCTGGAAGCCACAGTACCACGTAGTGAGGATATCCAGGCACCGTTGACCCAAACCAGGGAGGCTCCAGCCTGGAAAAAGAGGGGCTGTGAGACAAGGACGAGAGCCTTTGGCCCACGGCAGTGAACAGTGAAGCGACAACCATACCACCCAATTTGCTAATGACAACGCCAGAACCAAAACTCAAGTCCCCATTCCCCCTGCCCAGGTTCCGCCCACTGCACGTGCTCAAGCGGCGTCTCCGCGAGCAGCGTCTCCGCGAGCAGCAGGGGAGGAGGGGTTCCGGGGCTGGAGGGCAGCCACCAGCTGCGTCCGCGGCGGACCTTCCTTAAAGTCACCAGAAGGCGGGAAAGGGCAGCCCGCTGGGCTTGCGGGGCGGGCGGGAGACCGCGCAGGACGCGGCGGGGGCGTGTCTGGAGGCGCAGGGACCAGGTGGGGCGGCGGGCGGCCCCTGCCCCCAGCCGCGAGCCACAGGCTGGCGAACCCGGCGCCGGCCGCTGGGGCGCCCGCCGGATGCCGCGAGAAGGGGCATCCCGCGCCCGGAGCGGCAGGTGGCCCCGGCGGTCGGCCGCGCGGACGGCGCTTACCCCCGGGCCCCGCGGCGGCGTCGGCCTCGTCACAGTCGTCGGGCCACAGCTGGCAGCTGAAGAGCGTCCAGTACCGCCTGGAGAGGGCTCCGGCCGCCCGCAGCCAGGCCCTCGCCGAGCCCGGCTCGTCGGTCCCCTCCCACGGCCTCTCGGCGCCGCCGTGCCCAGGTGCGGCGGCGAGCGGCAGCAGCAGCAGGAGCCCGAGCCAGAGCGGGGGCCGCGGGCCGCGAGGCATGGCCGGGCTCTGCCGCCTCCCGCCGCGGCCGCTCCGGCTCTTTAAGGCCCGGGCGGGGCCGTGAGGCGGGCGTGGGCCCGGGGTGGTTGTTGCTATGGCGACCGGCCGGCCCGGCTGCCTGCTCTCTCAACACGTGACCCGGGCGGGAACCGAAACCCGGGCTGGTGTCCCGGCATAGGTCCTGTCCACCCCGCCAGCTCCCAGGGTAGTCTGTTTCTGGGGCACGCCTGCGGTTGCAAAGGCGGTGACACCAGGCCTTGAAATGCCCACTGTCAATCATTATTATTTTCGGGTACCTCTGTTGGCCCATCTGAGGTCTACCAAATAAGGACACACCTTCGTGCCTGGCCCCTTCGTCTACAGTCAACTTCCTGCCAAACTATTAGAGGAAGCTGGGGATACCCTCTCAGCCAGGGGAGTCAACTGTGCAGAGGCCCTGGGAAGAACGCACGCAGGAAGAATCCTGTCTGGCGGAGGTGGCCCTCTGCAAATAATCAGCAGGCTTCCACCAAAAACAAGAGGAAGCTGAAGGTTTCAAGTTTGGAGCTATTTGGGGTTTGGAAACCACCCTCCAAGTTATGGGGAAATCATGAGGTCTCCTGTTGAGTAATTATATCTCATGAAAAAGGAGGCTACATGCTCAGTACACTCTCAGCTAGGTTTGTAACTTTCAAGTGTTTGTGACTATGAGCAGCCATCAGTCACCACCAGCATGCCTTTGAGGGCCTCTTTCCCTTGGATTTCCTTCTTCATAATGTGGAGCACAGGACAGATTGTTTTAAGTTTCAGAGTTATCTTGTCCTCATTGGAAACCACTGTAGAGACAGATCAAGGGACCTACCTGGCCACTATCTTGTTTAGTGACTTTGAGGCTGGGCTCTCCAGTTGGTCAGTGAATCTGAGCACCAGACCTTGCAAATATCATAAACTGCCCCCTCGGTTCATGCCAATCTTAGATCACACTCAATGCCAGGGGCTGCTCCAATCTCAACAGCTCACCAAATTTGCCTTTTTATTCAAATAGCCACAGAGGCCAGATAAGCACCTTTGTCAGAATACCATGAAAGCTCAGTTGACAAGCAAAGTTATGTATTTTGTGTCTCACAGTGATGTCAAAAGGGAACCCAAACTTTTCAGAGCAGCAGCTAAGGCACCAGTACAGCATGACTTACTTGGAAAAACCAAGTAGAATCATTCAGAGGATAGTTAACCTTGGTTTGGATTTTGTGTGTGTGTGTGTGTGTGTGTGTGTGTATGGTGGTGGTGCTGGGGATAGAACCCAGGGCCTTGTGCATGCAAGGCAAGCACTCTACCAACTGAGCTATATCCCCAGCCTCATAGTTTGGATCTAAGTGCCACCCCAAGACCCCATGGTAGAGAACTGGTCCTCAGCTTGGTGCTATTGGGAGGTAGTTGGAGGCCAGTGGGAGGTCTTTGAATAACTGGATATGACAAAGGGACTATGGGATCCTGTTTTCTTCCTTTTTTGCTCCCTGACCATGAAGTGGGCAGTTCTGCTCTGCCACATATTCCTGCCATGATGCACTGCTTCCTTCTTCCCCCAACCAGAGGCCTAAAAGCAATGGGTCTCCCTGACCATAGATAGAATCTCCCACACCATGAACCAAAATAAAATTTCCTTTATAATTATCTCAGGTATTTGTTATAGTGGCAAGGAGCTAATATATATCTTTCTGCTTATTTGAAAACTAAAAACATTAACTTATTCAGCAAATATTGTTTGAGCATGAAAGGCAATCTAGCATAGTGAATAACTAAACAGGTTCTACCACTTTCTATTTGTGTAACTTCAATTTCCCCACCCATAAAACAGTCATGGGAATGCTGCTAAGATTAAATGAGCTAATTTGAGTGCATCATAAACACTCAATACTTTATTTTCATACATATTTATTTATATAATATATAAAATAGACTACTGGAGGAAGCTTGCTTGCCATTAGTTAATATTGATATTTATAGGTGAATTTATGGTGATAAAATTACTAATAACAGGGCTAGGGTGAAGCTCATGGTAGAGAGTCTGCTTAGCATGCATAAAGCTCTGGGTTCAATCTCTTGTACTTACTCTCAAATTACCGATAACAAACCAGTGGCCCTCAGCTGTAATCCCAGGGGCTTGGGAGGCTGAGGAGAAGCATCTCAAGTTCAAAGCCAGCCTGAGCAATTTAGTGAGGCCCTAAAGAAACTTAGTAAGAGACCGTCTCAAAATTTAAAAAAAATAATAAAAAATAACATCTGGGACTGTAGCTCAGTGGTTATGTGCCACTCAGTTCAATCCCAGTACAAAAAACAAAACAAAACAAAAACAAGTTTTAAGACTATGGAAACAACTATCTTTACTTACAACTGTCATCTAGTGATAACTGCTAATTTCTGAGATGCTCTGGTTTGGATTTAGCATTTAATGGTAAATAAACTAGGTTAACAGGAACTTGATTTCAAGAAACTTTTTTTCCTAAAAAAAAAAAGAGGGGAACTGAGTGTGGTGGTGCATACCTTAATCCCAGTGGCTCCGGACTAAGGCAGGAGGCTCTTGAGTTCAAAATCAGCCTCAGCAATGGTGAAGCACTAAGCAAATCAGTGAGACCCTGTCTCTAAATAAAGTAAAAAATAGGGTTGGGGTGTGGCTCAGTGGTCGAGTGCCTGAGTTTAATTTCAGGTAGTTAATTTACATCATTCTTGATATCAAAAAAAAAGCAAATTCTTTTCACCAAAGAGTCCTAAATAGACACAATAAATCCAAACACCAGTATCTAGACAAATCTCTGAATATTTCAACAAACTGTTAGCACAGTATTCTCAGAGGCTGGAGAGTAGTGGCTGTAGTATCTAAGAACAAGAGCTCATGGATGATGGGGACATCTAGAGGCTATTGTGAGAACTACAAACAGCTAGGATTCCTCAGCAAGCATCCTGGCATTGGCACTGTGTGGGAGCTTGTCAGAAAGGCACTCTCAGACTCTTGGACCTACAGAATCAAAATCTTCATTTTAATAATGTCTTCCTAAAATAAAGTGGGTATGTGACACATTTTCTGAAGTCATCTGAGTAGAACAAGCTTTATGGATACTCCCAAACTTGCTGAAGGTGGGCAGAACTGAAGCCAGATTTAAAGTTAGGTAGTCAGTGTAGTTAGGTAAATTGGGTCTAATATCATATCAAGTGAAATCTAAAATGGAGGCCATGCTGACAATGAAACGCAGGACAACTCATGAAATGTTAATGAAAGGCCCTAGGCCAAAGTCCACCCCAAAGAAATGTTAATAGAACCGTGGGAACAGCCCCAACAGATTTGGAGATAGCCCATCCCAAGAAGTGATAATGAAGTCCTTCCTGCCCAGATTACTTGTTTGGCCCACCTGTGTCCCACCCCTCGGGCCTTCCCCTTACATTCCATCACCAAAACTATAAAAAGGGGAGACAACCGCACTTCCACGGATTCCACCTCTTGGGTCCCCTTCTTCCTCAGGGAGAAGTCTTTTCTGCAGTCCTTTAATAAACTTCTAATTTCTACTCTGACCTTGCCTCGGCGTGCTTTTCTGGTGTTATTCTTCAACATTGGGGAAGCAAGGACTCGTCACCGGCCAACAGCAGTAACAGAACCATCTGTCTTGAAAACGATCTTTGGGTACAAATCAAGTCTCTCTCTCTCAATCAATAAAACTCTGAAAACAGGAGATGAATGTTTCCTGGTTCATCTATAAGCCAATAGTTGCTTTAACATCTCTGCCACAGTACACTGGGGGGCATCATGGGTGGAACCTGACCTCTCTAGAGGCAGGGCACAGCTAGGCTTCCTGATGAGACCATGGACACTCCTGAGGGTCTTCCTGGCCACTCAGGTTCTAAACTTATTGGAGGCCTGGGACACTCTACATTTGTGCAGCGAGGGGCACACGCCACCTGTCAAGTCTGGATCTACGTCCCCTTCTGTTGTGTGCCTACTGCCAACCCCACACCTGCTGCGTTCCTGCTCCTTCATTTTCAAGTTAATTTACATCACTCCTGAAGCATTTGGTGGCTCACAAAGTTCTCCTCTGTCAGGATGAGATTAGGGGCTCTTTAATAAGAGTGGATGTCACTGTCATTTCCATTTCACAGCACAATATCCAATGTCTACGCAAGACCAAAACCTTACAAATGGTGACTTAATGCCATGGTTCCCTGGGGTTTTTATTGCTACTTACCCCACAAAACCCCACTATGGAAACCAATCTTACAAAATGAGGGCTGCAGGAAGTTGTTTTTTAGGCAAACACAATAGGTAAGATCCATCCAGTAACAGAACATCTCCCCTCACTCCTGGCTGCCCTTTTCAAATTCTAATACCAGTCATTCTAATACAATTGAGAAGCACACAGACCCTGAAATTTAGCCTGCAAGAGGATTTGTATGTGGTGAGCCTGTGAGGAACACAAATCAGGCTTTGGCCTCCTGCATGTATTTAAGGACACACGACCAAACTGGCAGATACACCCCAACTCAAGGGGAAAATCTCAAGAACTCTGCACAGCTGTCTGGTTGAGGTTTAGGATGAATTTCCATGTCAGAAGTTAAAAATCTGTGTGTTGTAAGAATTCTAATCAGGACAATCAGCCTTCTCTTCTGCCTGTATGGTACTATGTTGACAAGTTCTTCAGAACTCAAAATGCTTACCTCTAAGATGCAAGAATGAAGTTAACTACTAATATACAAAAAGCAATGAGGATTCTTTTTTGTACCAGGGATTGAACCCAAGGGTGGTTAACCACTGAGCCACATCCCAGCCTTTTATTTTTTATGTTGAGATAGGGCCTTGCTAAGTTGCTTAGGTCCTTGATAAGTTGCTGAGGCTGGCTTCGAACCTGCAATCCTCCAGCCTCAGTGGCTGGGATTACAGGCATATGCCACCATGCCTGACCCTACGATAAATGATTCTATGAGAAACTTGGTATAGTTACAACTGTAGGGACCTTTAGATTAGTAAGGAAATTCAAAGGTCTTATCCATAAGATGCTGTGAAGTAATCCTATGGAAGTTTAAGTGGGGGCAAAAGATAGAATCTATTCGCCAAAAACAAGGAGGAAACTGGAATAGAAAACATTGGTAAAATCCTGAAAGTCAGGAAAAAAGATTCATAGGAAAAGATGATACCCCAATATTTATTAAAATCTTTTATTTTCAGCATCAAAACCCATAGAACACATTAGTTGTATTGTGTGGTGTCTTACCAAGTACATCCTCTATTTGTGCAACAGCTCTGAGAGGAAATCCTTGGCAGATCAAACATGAGGGTGGTGATTCTTACACCTCCTTTTAAGCGAATAAATTAGTTTCCGAGTAATATTTTGTTTCCCCCAATGTTCTGTTTCTGAAGAGCACAGTACAGTACCCAAACCCTATTCTCGCCCAGACTGAAGGAGTGGAAGGAAGAAAAGCTGCCCCAGCCCTCACCTCCCAACCCCAAGCAAGCTTCCGGGGGACAGGTGTCCCCACCTGGCTTACCAGGCCTGCCTGGCAGGTGTGTGCAGAACGGATGATCTATGTGTTACTGAAGGTCCACGCACAGAGATTGAGAAGAAAGCATTTTATAAACTTCAAGTCCTTCTGCAATGTAAGCCAGAGTTTTCCTGTGTCAAAATAAATACATTTTCCTTGCTAGAATTATGTGACTATCAAATACAAACAACTTCACCCATGTTTCCTGAAGCTCAAGATCACAGGACGGCTTGCACAAGACAACTCACCAAGGGAGGCGTTACCATCCCCAAAGGGTGATCAGTTACTTGGCAAAGAGAATAGATACGGGGAAGACTGGGAAGGGAGGCTGGGGGAATACAGTGCATGGGAAGGAAAGGCCAAAGTTCTTTTTTCTTTTTTAAAGAAAAGACGGATTTCTGTGGAAGAAAATGCTGCCTTCAAGTGACATTAAAAAATTGGCTTGTACAGGATTTGACTTTCCCCAAAATAATATGCAAAAAAATGTGCTCTACTTCCTCCATTTTCTTCTTACATTTCATCTGACATATTAACCCTGAATGCCAATAGGGAGAAATGCCTTAAACTATATTCAACAATATTAATTTTTTTGCACAGAGAATTATTTATACCTTTCCTGCCAAATCACAATTCAGTCTTATATCATTAAAGAACAGTTTAAAAATGAAAACTATATGCCCAAATTTCTACAAATTTTGGAAAACACATTTTTAAGAAGTGGGAGGAGAGGAGGAGAGCAAAAATGACAATCAGTTCTGATTTTCCTATTTTTATAGTATTAAATATATCTGCATCTATCTAGATGTTCAGTGGGCATACCTAACTTAGAGCTGACAAAAACCCTCCAATGGTTTGACTGCAATAGCTCCAGATTCTAATAACAAATCCAAAGGAGGCCAGTGTTACAAAACTTTTAAAAAGATTTTTTTTAAACAGAACATAGTATTTGTGTTTTAGGGCTATAAGCTTATGGTGAGTTTTCTCTAAGATTGACCTAAACACACTTTTCCAGCTTAATCCAATTCTAACTTAGAACATAAATTTATGTTCTCAGCATGTCAGCTCAGTTCTAATTCTGACCACTATGGCTCTGAACACATTTTAAGAACATGAGTTTGAAAAGAATGAAATGGTATAATTTCTACAAATGCTCTGAAGAAAACATGTTTTTTTTTGCACAGTACTGGGTACAGTGGCACCCTTCCACTCAACTACATTCTCTGCTGTTTTTATTTTGATACAGGGTCTCCCTAAGTTGCTGAGGCTGGCCTTGAACTTATGATCCTCCTGCCTCAGTCTTGTGAGTAGCTAGGAATACAGGCATGTGTCAGAGAACATTTGCCAAAAAAGCTTTCCCTCCTGTTTTTGCCCTTAGCAGAATCTTCTGCCTTTGATGTTATGAATAAATTTCCTGTTCTGAGAACAATTCTTATTCATCTCATTGTTGTACACCAAAGGCAGCATATATTTGAAAAGAACACTAATCCATAATTTAGTTCCATGAACACTCCTGAGCAGAGTACAGCAGAGCATACTGGTGTCCGTTCTATTGGCTCTTAGAAGTTTGAGGTTAAGCATCAACCAAGGTGGACTGTGAAGTTCCTGGGCTCACACAGCAAGTGGTCTTACAACTGGGATTAATACTTCTTTGTCAACACTATTTCAGCGTTGTTTGCTAACATCTGTCCTCTTAAATCAATACCCTTTTAAAAACTTGGTCTATTCTTATAACCACCTCAAGATGTATATAAAAAGTATAAAAGTTTCCTAATTCCATGTCATTTTAAAGTACTTACAAGTACCCAGTTATCTTTCAGTGTGAGAAAATGGGCATAAATTTGAAAGCTGTTTTTGGTCACCCAAAATTGGTCTCCAATGGCTGTCATGAAATGTGTTCGACCACTCTGTTTAAATATTAGTGTATGCTTGGCAGCGGTACAAAACTTCAACAGCATCTGGTCAAGATGCAGCAGGGCACTGGTCTCTGAATGCACAGAAGCGTGAGTGTCCCAGGCCTGCCCAGCTCTGCTCGATTAATTTTCTATAGTTGTGGACACTCCAGAATCTGCATTTCAACAGTCTGAATTGAGAGTGCCAAGAGGAGATTATATACCATGGGTTAAAAAATCCAAATGAGACTAAGCAATGAAATCAGGATTTGATATAAACCAAAATCTTCAGGCTCCTTCTGTCAACCTCCTTAATTTCAAGGCTCAGAAGGCTTACAGTTTTTTGATTCCAGTCTTTTGTGTGGCCCAAGTCACAGCTCTGTCCAGCCACCACCAGGGTGTACACTGTCCTCTGCAGAAGAGCTGCCTTTTCTCACGAAAACATCAATTTCAATGACCAAATGTCTTAAAGGCAATGGTGGAAATTCATTTCAAGAAAGAAGTGAAGATGACAGAGATCACAGGCAGCCTAACTTATTCAAGGTATTATTTCAGTTAGCTTTGTTAATTTGGAAAGGATCTGCCAGCTGCTTTAGGCAAAAGAGGAAAATAAAATTCTCCATAAAGAGTCATGTTTGAGTTGTAAAATAATTTTCTCTAGAGACCTTTTTTTTTTTTTTTTTGGTTAATTTGGACACAATTGTGGGAATGCAGATTTTACCTAGGTAAAAGTCATATTTGCTTTTACACACCTAAGAACTTAAATACAGGGAAACCTGTCATCTTCCAGATTCTGGTTCTACCAGGTGTCTCTCTACTTCCCTCCATTAAGATCATCAAAACCATACTACCCAATTGCTCAAAAACCTGAACTTCTTTCCAATTTTGCCCTTCCCTTCAATCTTATCTTAAAAACATATCCCCTCCAACAGAGAATGCTATTTTGGCTCAATAGACAAAGTTTTATTTGCCGCCACTCCGTAGGAGGCAGTAAGCTTTCAAATTAGACTAGTCTTGGTAAAAAAGACACAAGAGATCTTAAAGTATTTCCACAAAATTCACAGGTGTGGAGAAAGGACTACAAGGTTCTCCTCAAAACACACACTCTGGAAGCAATCCCAGCATTCACTTATCCAAATGTCACACCTGTTTGTCCTTTGGTATGGGAACACAGACTGACCAATGCTGATGACCACTGCTAGAAATGGGCAACTGCCGAGGACGCTGGAAGGTGTTTCTGCAGGAACATCCCAAGCTCTGACACTTGTGGTCTTTGCTTTTGCTTCCACTACAGAAAAAAACAAAGACACCCAAGGCCACCCTGTCCTCCACCACCAGAACTTGCTGCTGGCACTTCCAAAGCCATCTCATACCATTTGGAATTGATTGTGCTGTTTCTCTATCTTTGTAAAAATAAGTTTCACTTATTTTCTGTTGACAGTTACAAGTGGGACAGAGGCATCCTGTCTTCTACCAGCACAGTGTCCATCCCAAACTGGTCAGTGCACTGCTTCACGGTGGCCAGGACATTCAGGAGCCGCTGGTCCACAGCGTCCAGGTGAGGATCAGAGAGCACAGGGGAGATGGGATCATGGGCCATGGCAGATTTTAAGGCAGACTTTAGCACTCCATTCTTTAGGTAGTTCAGTCTGTTCCAGGTGGAAACCCTAATGCTGGAAGAAAAAGTTTTAGAACCAATTATATAAAAACCTCTCACTGTCAAATGGAGTTATCTTGCTTGGCAGCAAAAGTAAAAGAAAAAAATTATGTATAATATTTTAACTAAAACAACAAAAAAGAAATCACTTCTGTTTTGGAATAACCTCTATGTTAGCAGTAAGCCACATTACATGTTGGCTTTTTACACGTGTTTACTGCAGTGCTATTTGTAACAGGAAAATGTGAACCAATCTGAATGTCCAACAATTGGGAAATAGTTTAATTACTGCTCAACCATTCTAAGAAATACTAGGCAGCTTTGAAAATTTAATAGCATGGAAAAATGTTCATATGCTGGGTGGGGAGAAAAAGTTACTCCAAGTCTGTGGGGAGCAAAAATGTGTGTGTTATGAGAATTATTAGACTATATGCTTAGAAGCGTATAGTGTTACAGTGTTAAGAAAATTATCTTTAAATGTTCATTGATCTTTTTAATTTCCTTCTTTTAATTTTAAAAGTTTCACAATAATATAAATAGAAAAAGAATTATTTTAAGGATACCTACTTTCCTTAATTATCTCACAAACTACTATGATTTTTTTTTTTAGTTTTTTTTTTTTTTTTTAGTTGTTGACAGACTTGTATTTATTTTTATGTGGTGCTGAGGATTGAACCCAGTGCCTCACACATGCTAGACAAGCACTCCACCTGTGCCCACAACCCCAGCCCAACTTCTATGGTTTCAATGTTTATTCCTTCTGAAACTCATGCTGAAAGCTGAACTGTCACTGTTAAAGTATTAGGAGTTGAGACCTTTTAAGAGGTGATCAGGCTGTGAGGGCAGAGCTTTCTTATGCTGCTATGAAAGGTGGCCCTCTCTTCTCATTGCCTTTCTGCCTTCACCATATGAAGACACAGCAAGAAGGCCCTTAATAGATGCCAGTGCTCTGACACTGGACTTCTCAGCTTCCAGAACTGTGAGCCAATACATTTCTGTTTATTATAAATTACCCAATCTGTGATATTCTGTTAATAGAAGCATACAACAGAGTAAGCCACCAATTAAAGAAGATCTTTTTTTTTAATTTATTTTTTAGTTTTAGGTGGACACAATATCTTTATTTGTTTTTATGTGGTGCTGAGAATCGAACCCAGCGCCTCACACATGCCAGGTGAGCGCGCTACTTGAGCCACATCCCCAGCCCAAGGAAGATCTTTTTTAAAAAAATAGAATTTTTTCTCTCCAAAATCACCAATACCCTATTCCCCAACTTAAGTATATGAACAGCTTCAAACTGGAAAATGGCTCCCAGGGGCTCAGAAAGTACTGACTTGGGGCAGATATAAAAATGGCATTAGCAGTAATTCAGATTTAGGAAAGGAGAGCTGATGCTGGAAAAACTTCCAACCTTTTATTCTTTCCCCAGCTCACCTTAACAAATGGAGAGACAACCCACCCACAGTACAGTGCAGGCCTTCCATTATTTTTATTTTTTAGTTGTAGTCGAAAGCAATACCTTTATTTTATTTATTTATTTTTATGTGGTGCTGAGAATTGAACCCAGGGCCTTGTGCGTGCTAGGCAAGCGCTCTACCACTGAACCACAACCCCAACCCCAAAGAGAATCTTTTATTTATCTCAGAAGGAAAGTTCTTACCACCCTGTGTGTGAAGTGGAATTCACTAGGTAGGCAGTAGGCAAGAGGCAGCCTGCTCTGCAACTAATTAGAAAAGTAAGAAAATCGATCTCTGCACTAAGCACAGAGGGACTGTCAAGCTCAGATGCTGGCCAGTTTACTTACTCAGAATTATGCCACAAATGCCCAGAGCATAAGAGCTTCCCATCCGCCATTCCCTGACCCTCATCTCAGGATCTTCTAAGGGTTCTGGACTGAAAAAGTATGAAAATCACTGCTCAGGGAGCAGGAAGTTTTAAGGCCAAGAAAACAGATCCACGGTTCTGACAGCCTGGAAGGGAAGGCACCGCAGGCACCGTGTGCTAGTGTAACTTACATGCAGCACTGATAGAGAGGGGCAAGGATGCTTCTCTCATCCAGCGAGGGGTTCCCAAAGCTGAAAATTAAAGAAAACTGAGTGAATGAGGCAGAAATACCAGTTCTCTTCTTAGGTTCAAAGCATCAGCAAATTTTATAAGAAACTCAAATGTGACTCTAGATAATTTCATGCTCCAGCAACTCAAATCACTTAAATTCAAAAGAAGTAGGGTGTGACCAATTAGACAAGGATCCGTAACAGCCTGTACCAAAGTAGGAAACAACAAATAAACTCATTTACAAGGATACTTTTTCCTGCCAACACACTGCAAGGTGCTGGATCATAACCATGGTAACACAGCATGGAGGTCACAGACCAAAGGGAGGATGTGAAAATCCCTAAACTTGCAAAGCTTTTAAAGGGTGGTGAGAGACATAAAGGCTGCTCATATTAGGTTCCCTCAAACAGGCAGATGACCATTTGTCCTACTCCAAAATCAACAATACCCTGATCCCCGCAAGTAAGTATATGGACAGCTTCAAACTGGAAAATGGCTCCCAGAGGCTCAGAAAGTACTGACTCGGGGCAGATATAAAAATGGTATTAGCAGTAATTCAGAGTTAGGAAAGGAGAACTGATGCTGGAAAAACTGGCAACCTTTTACTGTTTCCCCAGCTCACCCTAACAAATGGAGAGACAACCCATCCACAGTACAGTGCAGGCCTTCCAATAACAAAAGGAATAGCGGCTACAAAGGTAAAATGTTTTGTCTTCTAAACTCAGGGATACCTAACGCCCAATGCAAGAGGGGGTCCTTTATGATTAATGGGAATCTCATGAATGGATCCGTACCCTCATACAAAAGGTCTGGGGAGCTTATTCACCTCTTCTACCCATGAGGACACACAGAAGGCACCAGCTATGAGGACCGGCTCATACCAGACACCAAATCTGGGGCACTTTGTTCTTGGACTTCCCAACCTCCAGAACAGTGAACAATACATTTCTGCTACTTATAAATTAAGAGATATAAGGTATTTTGTTATAGCAGCTCAAATGAACTAAGGAATTACTCTGATATATATCAAGCACATGTATTGTAATACGTATGATCTTTTGGAGGGCTACTGGGGGTTGAACCAAGGGGTGCTTAACCACTAAGCATAAGATTTTTTAACAAAATGTTCATTTTTTAAAAATATTTTTTTAGTTGTACATTTGGACATAATACCTTTTTTTATTTTTATGTAGTGCTGAGGATTGAATCCAGTGCCTTCCACATGAGGCAAGTGCTCTACCACTGAGCTACAACCCCAGCCCCAAAATGATCATTTTCACAAGTAAGAACAAAGATTTTTCAGGAATATAGACAGCCCTGGTCACTACTTGCTTTGCTGTGATAGGTTTACAGGGTAAGGCAGTGTTTGCTGGCCTTTCACTTGGGTAGCTGTCACCATTTTCAAGGAGCATGAGGTACCTGTTGTTCAACATAATAGATAGTGTCATTTGCAAGTTCTGGCCAAGCACTCTGCCGAGCAGCCACGTCTCAACTTATTCCTAGCATCCAGTGTTAACAGCATGGCCCACTCTGGACAATTCTGGGGCTCCAAGGAAGTTTTCTATTTACTACTTATTAAATGTAACTAAAAGTATGGTACTGAGCCAGCCACCATGGAAAATACATCCAGTGTAGAAAATGAAAATACAATATGCTCTCCAAAGAGCTTAGGCCTAAAAAATAAAAATAAGGACATTCTATTTATTCAAAATGAATAAATTTGTTTTATTCAAGACAAAAGTCATCTGTCTTTACATATCATCGCCATGCAATTACTCTTCCCCTCGTAACAGCAAAAGCCTGGACCTAGCTAGCCACAAAAATAGCAAAATATCCTATCAAATAAATTTTTAAATTGCACAAACCTTGGGATAGAATTTAATAGTAAATACATTTCACTTTCTAGTAGAACTGCATTTCTCAGATTTGATGTTCTATAAACATCATAACCAAGAAAGAATGATGTAGGCAATGACAAATGAATAACCATGACTTCCAGTTGTCTGTGAAGTGGACCACAATTTCCATTTTTTAAAGTCCTGAGGGTGTAGGGAAGGACAGTGTCTATCAATTGTCTTCTGGATATTTTCCAGGACACCAGCTATAGTTGGATCTGAAATGTTCCCCCAAAACTCACTGGTTGAAGGCTTGGTTTAGCTGGTGGTCCTCCTGGGAGGTGATAGAAACTTCAGGAGGTAGGGCCCAGCTGAAGGAAGTAGGTCACTGGAGATGTTCCCAGTGCTTGTCCGGCTGTCCCTCCCTCCCTCCCTCCCAGATACCGTAAGGTTAGCAGCTACCCTCCACCACATGTTCCCCATGATGTTCTGCCCCTCCACAGGTTCTGAAGGAATGAAGACCATGGAATGATACCATGAGCCAAAATAATCCTATCTCTTTTAAATTATCTCCAGTATTTTTTCAGAGCAATAAAAAGCTGACTAGGTGGCCTGCAAGGGTGCACATGCTAAAGGAATGCCAACTGGCCTGTGGCACTGTTGGAGAGTCAGGAAAGCATTAGGAGGTAGGGCTTAATGGAAGGAACTGAGGTCAACATTGGGACCCCAGCCTCTTTCTGTTTCTTTGTTTCCTAGCTGTCACAAGCACCTTCTTTCCAACATGTGTTCCCACCACAATGCTCTACCTCATCATAGGCTCAAAAGCAACAGAGCCAGCAAACCTTTCTGAAACCATGAGCCAAAATAGATTTTTCCTCCTCTGAAGTTGATTTATCTCAGGTGCCTGTCACAGTGATGGAAAGCTAACACAATATGCTTGAAAATATCCTTTTATGCATGGAAATGAACAAAAGATAGTCCTGCTGGCCTTACCTTTTGGCATTATCAAGAAGGATGAGCATACTAGCGCCTTCATCATCCTGAAAGCTCTCATAGTGATGGCGGTCAGCATTGCCAATCAGGTAATCAAAGACAGAGGTGTCAATGATGTCCAAGAGGCGTGGGCCTGAGTCATATGGGGATGTTTTCTTCACAGCATCACAGTAGCTCTCATCATACTCCCACCTGATGGCAAGCAGCATCACAAGAATTACTGAGTGCCAACAATGTATCTGGCTGTTATGATCTTAAATGTCCCCCAAAGGCCATGTATTGAAAGCTTGGTTACCAGTCTGTGGCACTATCAGGAGGCAGAGCCTGGTGGAAGGAAGCCAGGGCATCAGGAGTGTGCCCTTAAAGGAGATGTCGAGGCTCTAGCTCCTTTTACTCTTTTGCTTCCCAGCTACCATGAGGTGAGCAGTTTTCCTCTACAACTTACTCCCCATCATGATGTTATACCTCCCCACAGTTCCAAAAGCAATAGAGCCAACCAACCATGCTCTCTGAAACTGCGATCATGGCATGCAATCATGGCTCTGAAACTGTTAAGTCAGAATAAATTTCTCCTCTTTCCAAGTTATCATCTTAGGTATTTTGTCACAATGATTGAAAACTAACACGGAGAGCTGGTACCAAGAAGTAGGATCGCTGCTGTGACTACACCTTATGATATGGTTTAGAAACCTTTGGAATTGGTTTGCAAGAGGAGTTCAGAAAAGTGTGAAGAAGCAGGCTAGAGAAAGTTTGGAATGCTGAAAGCAGGGATTAATGGGAGATTCTGGTAGAAACTCACAAGACAGACAAAAGGAAAGTAAAGGTTTCAGAGGGAAACGAGGACTGTGTTGGGAATTGGACTAGAAGCCACTTGTGTTAAAATTTTGGTAAAAACTTTGTCTACATTTTGTTCATTCTCTAAGACTTTGTGTGAAGCTGGGTTCAAAGTGACAGACTAGTTTATCTGGCAAAGGAAACTTCAAGGCAGCACAGCATTTAGAGAGCAATATGGGCATTACAGGCTGCTTTTAGCCAATTTTACTGTGAGAACTGGTAGCCAAAAGCAGATAAAAGATTTCTTAATTTTGCAGTTTGTCCAGAAAAGTGTGAAAAGTGCAGGCCAAAGAGGGTATAGATGCTGAAGACATCAGTGCCATTAAAAAGAAGCCAAGTACTTTGAACCTGAAGAATATAAAAGATGGAATCAGCCAGACCCCAATAATCACAGGTTCAAAAGGATGAAAAAGTATAAACCTTTCATTTGAGAAGAGACCACTGGGGCTGGGGCTCCCTGTTCACACAGGGCCTAAGGAATTGTTTCCCTAACATTCTGTGTTCAGCCATCAAAGCACTTAGAGGCCACTGCAACTACAGATCAAGTGGGTCTGGCTACTGCTCAAGGCAGTGGCAGACCATGGTGTCATATAAGTGATTCTGATTTTGCAGGCATGCAGAATCTAAGAGTTGGGGGGTTACAGTCAAATTTCAAAGGACAGCCTGAGAGGGGAATACATAAAGGTATGAGAGTGAAACTGAAGCTTCAATGGAGACCCCAGGAAATTAGAGATGCCAGGAATAAGCAAGAGAATGGTGGGACTAAGACCCAGGTACTTCATGCCGTCTCTTCCACTACCACCAAGCCATGTTGGAGAAGCCCAAGGAGGGAGTGAAGATGGAGAATGACACATGAACCTGAAAGTGGTGGGGGAGGGTGGCTCAGTGGCACAGTTCAAGACCAAGATAAGCAAGCTGATGAAGGCCTGTGAAAAGACCTGTCAATAAGTCTGGTTACATTCAGGTTTGATAAGCAAGCAATGAATGACACTTCAGCTTAGCCGGAGATGGAAGATACAGATGCCTTTGAGATGTTCTAGCAGCAGACGGGAGGCATGGCCTTCAGAAGGACCACCCTCACACCATGCCATTGTCCTTGCCTTTGCTACTGAACGGTGAATGGATAGCCATGCTTATCACAAAGGAGTCTATAGAAGCCATGGAGAGTCACCAAAATGATCTTCCTCTCTGTTTCACTTTAAGTGCAGCACAAAACTGTATCTGCAGTGATGAACCTAGAGTTTAAATTGGGCCAGATTGTTTTGTTTAGGTAAAATAAATTATGAGGTTTGGGATCTGCTCTTGTTTTCATTTGGTTTAATTCCCTGCCCCCAAAACATTTTTTCCTTGAAACTTGTGGCCAAATGTTGGCTCTCAGTCTATAGCAGGCTCTCACCCTTGAGGCACTTGTCTTAAATTATGTGGAATGTTCATGTTCACACAATGGCATATCTGTATGACAATGTGGGGGGCAGAATTCCACGATTTGTTGTAGGTACAGGTTATTAAAATGCCAGAATTGCAAGCTTTGTCAAGCACATGGTAAAGCTGAAGAGACAATACTGGAATGCTTCTGAAAAGAAAAAAAAAAAAAATACCAAGTCCTTCTGTAATATGGCCCAATTGCTTACTCTTTCTCTGCTCTGGAGTGTATCCCCTGAAGCCTGAGGCCCAGGATTCTACCACTCAACTTAGTGGCCGGTATGGATATTTGGGGAAAGATCAGCACAACAGAAAGAAGCTTTTGCCCTTTTCAAAACATATAAGAAAATAATTTCCATGTTTCTCATGGTAATTATATTGAAGCCTCAAATTTCTTCTAGTATTTACTTCTGTTGAATAATTATGATCTATATAAAAAGACTAAGAGTTGCTGAACTGCCATGATGTTGTGTAATAGTTACTTCAAAGCGTGCCTGCAAAAGAAAGCAACGGGAAAGGTGACTTAGTGTTCTTATAGACTTGTGTTCTGCTTTCTGAATAGGTACTAAAATATGTATTAGTATGGTGATTCCAGTTCTTTTTTAACTTTATTTTATGGTGCTAGGGATCAAACCCAGGGCCTCATACATGCTAGGCAAGTGCTGTGCCACTGAGCCACATTCTCAGCCCAAGATTATTTTTGTTTATTTGTAGTGCTGGGGATTGAACTCGGGTCTCATGCATGGCACATGCTGTGCCACTGAGCTACACCCTCAGCTCCTGGTGATTCTAGTTCTATGAGATATTTGGGGGTCTACAGCAATTAAAATGTTTATATTTCTGCTTATTGTACTTCTATAAGGATCCATTGCTGCTTGATGGCCATTTTCTACCTTTTATAGTCACCTGACAATGACACATTATCTCACTTGCTTAAAATCTTAAAGAAAATGTTCTAGTTTGCTTTGTTTTGTTGTACTGGCTGCGGGGGAGGGGGGATGGATGTTTGTTGGCTCCATTATGTTTATTCACAGTCTGTACATTATTTGTTGTACTTTACTACAGTAAACAGCAAAACAGTTTGGCAAAAAAATGAGGTGGGGAGGGCAAAGATACCAGGAATAGGGAATGCCTGCTGAAGCTGAAGGCAATGATCATGCTTTGAAGAGAGGCCAGGTGGGCTATGCGGCAAAGCAGTAAGGGTGGGGCTGCCCAAGCCTATTGAAGCTAGATCATGTATGCCCCAGATGCCAGACATGGAGCTAAACAATTTAATGTTTGTGCTGCTGGGAGTTTGGTCATGCTTTGTTCTGATTCCTTCTTGCTATTTTTCTATTTCTCTCTTTTAGAATGGGAATGTTTACTCTGTGCCACTGATCTTGGAAGTGTATTACTTGTTTTTTTTAAGCTAAGAATTTGCCTTGAGTCTCAGAGAGACTTTGGACTTGGGCTTTTCAGCAATGCTAAAATAGTTAAGACTTCAGGGATTCCTGGAAATGGACTGAATGCACTTTTCACCGTGAGATGGACACAGCCTTTCAGGGCCAGGAGCAGAATGTTATAGTTTGGATCTCAAATGTTCCCCAAAGGCCATGTGTTGAAGGTTTGGTTGCCAACATGTAGAGCTACTGGGAGGTGGTATAACCTGTAGGGGGTGGGGCCGAGAAGTTAAGCCACTGGAAGAGCCATTGGGACCCCAGCCTCCCTGCCCCCTTTGCTTCTGGGCTTCCTTGAGGTGAGTGTCCTCCCCTGCCATCTACTTTTTTTTGTTTTTTAATATTTATTTTTCAGTTTTTGGCGGATACAACATCTTTGTTTATATGTGGTTCTGAGGATCGAACCCGGGCCACACGCATGCCAGGCGAGCGCGCTACAGCTTGAGCCACATCCCCAGCCCCCTGCCATCTACTTTTAATATGAGGTACTGTGCCACCACAGGCCCAAAGCAATGTGGCCAAGTAACCATGAATAATTACAATCTATATAAAAAGTAACAGAAATATTTAAAATAAGGGCCAAAATACACCTTTCCTTCTTTTAAATGTTGATTTATCTCAGGTTTTTGTCATAAGGACACAAGCTATTATTGAAACACTGGCATTGCCTTCTGCCCTTAACCTGACAGTTCTTATTTTTTTTTTTTTAAACTCTTGGACAGAATGAATGACTGGCTCCTATGCAGGATTGGCACCTGACGAGGCACAGGGGAGAATTAAGCTGTGGCTCAGAGAAGCATTTACCTGGCCAATTTGCCTTCTCGGTAAGTCCTGCCCCAGGGGTGTCGGTGTTTCTGCAGAGGCCACACATCTGGAAGCCAAAGCGTGACAGATCCCTCCATTGTGTCTCCATCTGCACAAGCTGGCTCTGTTTCTCGGCAGTAATAGCACTTCCCATAGAAACAAGTATTGTTTCCTAAAGGACAGAAAGGAGTCAAATACACTTAAGGAAAAAACAAAAGATTCTAAATTCTTCCCTAAATAATGGGGAAAAAATCAGCTAAGAGGACACAGACAGCAAAGATCCTGAACTTAATATATTTTACACATTTATTTTTTTGAATAGATAAGAAAAGCATATGGTATAAAACTTTACAAGGTCCAGAAGGATTTATACTAAAAGGTAAACTGCCATCTGGTGTAGCAGCGCACACCTGTCTGTAATCCTAGCAACTTGAGAGACCGAGGCAGGAGGATAACAAGTTTCAGGCCAGCCTCAGCAACTTGGTGACATCCTGTCTCCAAATAAAAATATAAGTAGGACTGGGGAAGAACTCGGGATATAGCTCAGTGGTAAAGCATCCCTGGGTTCAATCCCTAGTACCAAACAAACCAAGCTTCTCCCTCAACCCGCTCCTCTCCCTTTCATCCTGCTCCTTTTACCTAGTTTCACTCCCAAGAGTCAAATACCACCTTATTATTTTCCTGAACTAATTAAAAAAATTTTGTTCTTCGTACCATACATACATGGAGTATAACTTCCCATTCTTTAGTTGTACACGATGTACAGTTAAACTGGTAGTGTATTCATATATGAACACAGGAAAGTTATGTCTGATTCATTCTACTGTCTTTCCCATTCCCATCTCCCCTCCCTTCCCTTTATCCCCGCTTTGTCTAATCCAATCAACTTATATTCTTCCCTCCAGCCCCTTTATAGTGTGTAAGCATCTGCACATCTGAGAGAACATTCAGCCTTTGGTTTTTTGGGGATTGGCTTATTTAACTTAACATGATAGTCTACAGTTCCAGCCATTCACTGGCAAATGCCATAATTTCATTCTTCTTTGTGGTAATATTCCATCGTATATATGGAATTTTCTTTATCCAATCATCCGTTGAAGGGCACCTAGGCTGGCTCCATAGCTTAGCATTGCGAATTGAGCTCTATGAACATTGATGTGGCCATATCACTATAGTATGCTGCTTTTAAGTCCTTTAAGTATATGTTAAGGAGTAGGATAAATAGGTCAAATGGTGGTTCCATTCCAAGTTTTCTGAGTAATCTCCATATTGCTTTCCAGAGTGGTTGCACCAATTTGCAGTCTCACTAGTAATGTATGAATATACCTTTTCCCCCACATCCTCCCCAACATTTATTGTTGCTTATATTCTTGAGAATTTCCATTCTGACTGGAGATAAAATCTTTGTGTAGTTTTAATTTGCATTTCTCTAATTGCTAGTGATGTTGAACAGTTTTTCATGTATTTGTTGGTCATTCATATTTCTGATGTGAAGTGTCTATTCAGTTCCTTTAACCATTTATTGACTGGGCTATTGGTTTTTTTGAGTTCTTTATATATCCTGAAGATTAATTCTCTGAGGTGCAGGTGGCAAAGATTTTCTCCCATTCTGTAGGCTCCCTCTTTCTATACTTGTGTTTCTTTTGCTATGAAGAAGCTTTTTAGTTTGATAAAAATCATATACTTAAAGGACTTAAAAACCCATTTATTGATTCTTGACTTTACTTTTTGCACTTTAGGAATCTTATAGAGGAATTCAGTTCCTAAGCCAACATGATGGCGATTTGGGCCTACCTCTTCTTCTCCTAGATGCAGGGTCTCTGGTTTAATTCCTAGGTCCTTGATCAACTTTAGAGTTTTGTGCAGGGTGAGTGATAAGGGTGTAGTATCATTTATTACACAGGGATTTCCAGTTTTCCCAGCATCATTTGTTGAAGAGGCTATCTTCTCCAGTATGTTCATGGCGCCTTTGTCTAGTATGAGATAACTGTATTTATGTGGATTTGTCTGTCTTCTATTCTGTACCATTGGTCTTCATGTCTGTTTTGGTGCCAATACCATGCCATTTTTGTTACTATAGCTCTGTAGTATAATTTAAGGTCTGGGCTGGGGATGTGGCTCAAGCGGTAGCGCGCTCGTCTGGCATGCGTGCGGCCCGGGTTCCATCCTCAGCACCACATACCAACAAAGATGTTGTGTCTGCCAATAACTAAAAAAATAAATATTAAAAAAAAATAATAATTTAAGGTCTAATATTGTGATGCCTCCTGCTTCACTTTTTTTGCTGAGGATTGCTTTGGCTATTATGGGCCTCTTATTTTTCCAAATAAACTTTATGATTGCCTTTTCTATTTCTATGAAGAATGTTATCAGAACCTTAATAGGAAGTGCATTGAATCTATACAGTGCTTTTGGAAGTATGGCCATATTGACAATATTAATTCTGCCTATCCAAGAACATAGGAGATCTTTCCATCTTCTAAGGTCTTCTTCAATTTCTTTCTTTAGTGTTCTGTAGTTTGTAGAGGTCTTTCACCTCTTTTGTTAGACTGAATCCCAAATATTTTATTTTCTTTGAGGGTATTGTGAATGGGATAGCTTTCCTAATTTCTCTTTCAGCTGATTCATCATCGATGTATAGAAACACAATGATTTATGGATGTTATTTTCATATCTGAACTAATTTTGATTACAGAAAATGTTTTCCTCTGTAGCAGGACTGAAGTTGTGGCCAGTGTGCCCAGGGAAGGGAGAGAGGGAACATGCTTAGTTTGGTAACATGGGTTGAGGGTAGGTAGTTGAGGAAACAAGTAAACAGATCAAGGACAACTGGAACCAGGTTTCTCATAGAGGGAGAAGGAAGTTAAATACACAGAAAAGGAGATGGTCAGAATAAACTCCATCATGAATTAGAATTGAACCTACGGGTTTCAATTGACGTTTTCCTTTTTAATATTTATTTCTCTAGTTGTAGTTGGACACAATATCTTTTATTTTATTTATTTTTATGTGGTCTGAGGATCGATCCCAGGGCCTCACATGTGCTTAACAAGCACTCTACCACTGAGCTACAACCCCAGCCCTTAATGGTCTTAACACATACATAGAAACATAAAAAGTCATGTATGTATGTGTATATATCTGTGTGTGTACATGCATACATACATTTCCTATGTCTATACTTCAAAAGAACCCCAAAATAATGATACTAGGTAGTAATGAGCACAACCATATATTGGTTTCTAAAGACCATTCTACATTAGCTGTCTCCAAGGTAGGAGCAAGGAACAACATGCCAGTTGTAAGGAAATGCTCAGAGAATGATGAACTATTCCAAAAGCACACAAGAGCTAGTTTGTAGGGGCTCCCTCTGGCCAAATAAAAATAAAAATAAAATACTAATAAATCATAACTGGGTAAATTAAATCTGTAAATTCATAGTGACATGACTAAAGAAACGTGTGTGTATGGGTGGGGAGGGGAGTGTTGCAAAGGTCTACCCTACAATAGAATGACAATAGAGAAGCAAGACAGAAAATTGCCATTTGGCAACTATCATAATAATTCAGACAAAAATTGTCAATAAATGCTAAAACTGGTGGGTGAACATTTGATAAGGCATGGGATATTTACATAATTCTAAGGTATTTCCCTATAAACGTACTCATTAGTAAATACAAAATAATTATTAACTTTATACTGGAGAAACCCTGCACTTCAAAACCCATCATCTTGAACAAGTGATAAAAGTTGTTATCACCAGAAATGGGACTTATCAAAAAATCTGTATCATGTACCTTAGCACACATATCATCTCTCTGGTATTTTGCCAAAATTTTTAAATCATGAGTAAATATTAGATAAACCCAGATTGAGACACTTTAAGTTCATAAAATCTTAGGAGAATAAATAATTGTTAAAGACTGATGGAGTTGGGCTGGGGCTGTAGCTCAGTGATTGAGTGCTTGCCTAGCACATGTGAGGCCCTGAGTTCAATCCTCAGCACCATATAAAAATAAATTAAAATAAAGGTATTTAAAAAAAAGTGAGAAAAATTGATGGAGGCTAAAAAGAAGTAATTGACCATAACATGTGATGCCAGAATGAATTCTGGATTTATACAGAACATTCCAGAAACAACTGGCAAAATCTGAATAGAGTTCATGGATTATATGGTGATATTGTGTCATTGTTAATCTCTTGATTTTGATGGCTGAAGTGGTTATGTTGGAGAGTGTCCTGGTAGAAGGGAATTAAGTTTTAAAGGAAGCATCCAATGGAGTAATGGGCACTCATGTCTGCAACCTATTCTCAAATGGTTCAGAAATGTTAAATGAGGGATCTGAGTGACTATTTCTACTACTTTTATATAAGCCTAAAATTCTTTCAAAATAAAGTTTAAAGTTAATATTTCCTTTGCCCACCCTCAATTCCATGAAAAATAGCCATCAAATATACCAACCTTCTATACCTCAAAAGCCTCATCTATTCTTTTTTTTTTTTAAATAATGAGACCAACCCTTTTGAAAGAGTTATTTATATATAAAATTTTAGTCGTTGATGGACCTTTATTTTATTCTTTTATTTATACATGGTGCTGAGAATTGAACCCAGTGCCTTACACATGCTAGGAAATTGCCCTACCACTGAGCCACACCCCAGTTCTCACCTATTCTTTTAATAACAATATTATGTGGGTGTATCCTTTAGGAGACAAACAACATTCACAGTTATTTGTATTTCTAACTTCCAGCAGAGTACATAGAAAACAGAAATGAATCAACTAAGTATCCACCTGCAAAGCTGATTATATCGCTTTCCTTCACCTTAAAAACCTTTTCAGATAAAGAAGATCTGATCTGTTTAAAAAGTATCACATTTAGAATGTTTAAAAATTATAAAAATAACATAAATTTGGGCTGGGGTTGTAGCACAGTGGTGGAGCGCTTGCCTAGCATGTATGAGGCACTGTGTTAGATCCTAAGCACCACATAAAAATAAATAAAATAAAGATCCATCAACAATTTTAAAAAATTGGTTTTTAAAAAACATAAATTTATAAATATAATTGAATCAGGAATATCAGTAAATCTTTCAGAGTGTAACCATACATGAAAATTTTAAAGACCATAGGAAAAATAACTGCTAGAAAGCTCTCTTTTTCCTCCCTTC